AAACGCGCAACTGAGGGCAAAGTTGGTGGAGCTACAGAAGGTGCAGGCAGTTTTCTTAGGGAGGGCATAACTCAAAATGATGGGTACAGACATTTTTGTTCTGATGGCGGCTGCTCACTTTTGGGAAGTGGGGGGGAGTGGTTAATAAATTCCTGGAGTCTGATGGCGGGGGGGGGCAGTTTCCAGTGGTGACTTCGCAAGCTCAAGATGTCCAGTGCACCTGGGGCTGTCTGAGCACCTCACTGCTTGCCTCCCATGTGGATAGGCGGACAGTGGAGGCTGGAAATGCCAGATCAGAGCTTCATGCCTCCAGCTTTGGAGGGTCACGATCTGTTACCCAGCTACCTTGTACTTCTCGAAGTGAGGATTCCATTAGAAATGTAAGTGGACATGCTTTATCTGGGATTTGATTCATCTCATGTTGTCTTGAAATTTAGTATCAGGGCCTTGAGAACGCAGGTGTCGGAAACATTTGCATTGAATTTAGTTCTGCTAAAGTTAATACAGAGAGATGCTTGAGGATTTTTGTCAAAATTCCTGGGAGAGGGAGTGGTGAAATGAGCTGTACTGCTTTTCTTGTCATATGTCCATAAATGCCCCTAGGAATCAGGTGTGACTGTCAAGGCAGTAGTCGAGGATCAGTGAAGAAGCAGTCCAGGATATTTGAGTAAGCATATATTCGTTCTTTATTACTGCAATAGTAAATCGTTAAATACAATTTTATGAAGGTTGGGTCCATAAGTTTCAAGCATATGTTGGCCATAGTTATCGTTTTTTATCTCCATTATGTGATGAAGAATTATGGTCTTCTGTCTTTCAGAGACGGGCATTGGATTTTATGTCAGAATACTGTGTACTGTGACCTGCTCATCAAACATTTTTGTCAGGGCAGTGGCTAAATGTCACTTGTTATGTGTTTGTAACGTAGTGATTATTTTGAGCATCTGAGCTCTTGCTTATGTTTGTTTCGAAGTTGTTACACTGTGTGTCCCCCACCCACCACCGCCGTTAGAAGCATCATTTTAGTATTCTTCAGAGGCTCTTCTCCATATTAAGTGTGCCCTTGATTTATCTGCGATGCAGAATCCTGCCGTTTTCTTAGCTGAGTCCTGCTGGGATGTCAGCAAGAGGTTTTCTGGTTTCCAAGCATCCCCTATCTTGTCCTCCCTCTTCCTTTTTGATCATTCTTCCTTCCTATTTTAGTTTAATTTGCATCCATAACTTGGTGCCGAGAATGTAACTTTGTAATTCCTGTGGTTTTCTCTTGCTTTCTGGATTTTGCTGTAGCCTATGAGGTCGTTTTAATTGGATCGGGCTCTACATGGAGAGATGCACTGTTGTGACCATTTGCCTGCGTCCTTTTCTTCCCCAGTTTAATTTCTGTTATGTGACAGATTGTGAGAAAATAAATTTGCACTAATTAGGCTGTGTTTCATCTCTTATATTTGGGGTTGATGCCCCTGTGAGCAGACTGTTTTTCCAGCATCTGCAAGAATATTTCTGTCAATGTTGTTTTCCAGGTGCACATTTCTGTATTTTGTAACCACTAAACATTTGAGAACAATTTAAAGGAAAAGGATTGCTTATTGTACTTTATGGGTGACTCTACATGATGGAACTACTGTATCCAATGTTGAGAGAGTTTAAAGGGAGTTTAAATCTGTTTTCATTGTTTGTCAATGGTGGCTTCAGTCTCTTATTTGCTCTTAACATCTCGGTTAAGCACCCAATGTAATGATCTGAGATACAGTACAGAGATGTTTGACATAGAAAGTCAAATTAACCACGATCAATGTTTCTTCAGCTTCTGCATTCTTTCTTTTCTCTTACTGGTTACTGTCCCATTGGTTCTTGGCTCAAAGCACCTTGTTCTCTAGTGTGAAATGGCAGGCATCAGAATGTTTCAGGCAGGACTCCCGGTATCGAACTAATAACCTCTCTTTCTCGCATCCTCTTTTCTTCGAATGGGTCTTTATTTAGTTGTTTTTTTTTTTAGAAGCAGCAGATTGGTTCAGGGAGCATTCACTCTGCCCGACAAAAGGTTTCGGTATATTTAGAAAGCCTGAATGCACCTCTCGCGCACCTAATCACCGGCAGACGCTTTCACGGGCCAGCGTGGGGTGACGCTAATAGCCCTGCTGTGAGCACACACCAGTGACGTGGCAGGACCCAGTTCTCCGCGTTAATCTCCCCCCCCTCAAACGTAAGCCTTCACCTGCGCGACTAAGAAATGTGTCTCTTAGCCTGCAGTCACTTCCACCAAGCGTTTCATTTACATCCTGCCAGTGAGTCACACCGCGTTGTGGGGGATAACTGCACAGTCTGTTTGTTCCAGCTCAGGAGTCTGGGATTGATGGACCACAACTGTTCGATTAAAATAAAGATGCTGCTCAAAGTCTCGCCTCCCACCACATCAGGCTAGTTATCCATCAAGTAGTTGCAATGCTTGTAGCACTACAGAATGTAATCTGTTCCTTTTATTCTGAGGGTTACCTGGAATGTTCTTTGTGGTGAATGTACTCCTACCTAAATTCTACCACATTTGAAGGCTGCTGCTTCTGTTACTGATATCAGAAAGCTGATAATATGCTTTGGCCACTTGTATTGTGCTGCTGTGCAGCATCCTTTAAGAACAGACAGGACAAATTCTGTATTTGCAGTGTACTGTACTGGCAGAAGCCAGAGAATCATAAAAGGATGTGGAATTCTATATTTTTGTCACAGTTTCCCATTAATGCATGGAACAGTTAGAATAACATACTGTATAGGTCTATCACAGAACGGATGATGCCACAAAGCATAAATTTGTAGTAACATAAATAGTATGTATCATGACCTTGCTGGGCTTACTTAGTGTGCTAGCCTGTTTGCTGGTCTCATTGATCAGCATTGCAAATGAGAGTTGGGGACCTGCTGCCACATTGATGGAGATGGCTAAATGAGTTAGCTGTCTTGTCACATTTGTTGCAGTTGTACTTATTGATTTTGATTTCTTCTTCTGGGAGAAGGACATTTTTAATAGTGCTTCTAGATTTTTTCATGGGTGGCCATGTCTTTGTTTGGCTTTGGGTGACTTGAAATCCCTCCTGAGATTCAGGTTAGCCATCTTCAAGGCTTTCTACCCTGTCATACGTCCTTCTTTCTCTCCAACACAAGCGTTGGAGAGAATTAGGAAGGAGGTAGCACACAGAGTTAGTTGCTCATCTGGTGAGAATGTGTTCCTCCGCAGGGCCCCTTCTTGAGTCTGAATCTCGGGAGCAGCTAAGTGTTACAGTCTGGGAACAAGCAAAGACAGCAGTACTTGGCTTATGAAGACAAGATCAGCAAATAGTTGGGTGTTTTTTTCTTTATTATTTTGCAGGAGGATGGGCGTGAATCAGCACCCTTTGGAATTAAATCAACAGCGTTAGATGTCTGTGCTCAGTCTCTCAGTTTCATCCAGCCAAATAGACATGCACACAAGATGCTGGTCTTGCAGACAAATGTTATGCAAATACATAAAGTTTATATATTCTCCCCGTGTTCTCATGGGTATCTTTACAAAGTCCAAAGGCAGACTAGTAGTTTAATTGGCTGGTTGGAAAATTGGCCCTGCTGTGAGTGTGTCTGCCTGTGGTCAAGGGCACAGGATGAATCCCAATTTCTGCCCATTTCATTCTGGGATAGGTTTGTACTCCCCATGACCCTGTATTGGATAAAGTGGTTAGAAAGTACCTGGATGGATTAATATCACAATTCTTTGCAAAATGGTGCACTTAAGTTCATTTTCTGGTTTAGATTATAGTACAAACTAATGTAAACCAAACATGATACCACATCATGGATGTTTTTTTAATATTCGCTTTCTAAATGCTAGGTCTCTAGCAGTTGTTTTGTACTTATGTACACAGTGCTACTCAGAAATATTTTTATAACTATTCCCTGTTTTCTTCTATAAAACATTTTGTTAAGCTTTTGTTCTCTTTGAATCTGTTTAGAGAGTATGCATAAGGGCCTTCTACTTGAGTAGTGTATGTTGAATATTGTGATGTAGAATGAAATTAACTCTTTACTGCTTAATGCTAGATGATAGCACTTGTCTTTTTACCTTTTTTAACATTAACTATAAAAACTGTGGTGCGGTGGCACTGTGGCATCTGCGCCTGTGGCTGGAAGGTTGCCGGTTCAAATCCCGCGGCCGGCAGAGGAATCCTACTCCCCAGCTGCTCCAGGGGCGCCGTACAATGGCTGACCCTGCGCTCTGACCCCAAGCTTCTCTCCCCGTCTGTGTGTCTGTGTCTCATGGAGAGCAAGCTGGGGTATGCGGAAAGATGAATTCCTAATGCAAGCAATTGTATAGGGCTAATAAAGTGATCTCTCATCTCTCTTACTGTTCTGTAAGTTGAGAGGGTTTAACACAATTTTTGTTATTGCCACTTGCTGACTTTGATCTCCCGGGGAATAGAATTAAGTGTTCCTGAGTTCTGGACTGAAAGGTTGGAAGTACAGGGTTCAGCCGAAGAGGCAAACTGGAAACTGATCAATAGCGATTGCAGCTGAGAAAGCCACATGTTTTAAAAAGGTGCTTCAGCTGAAGAGACAACTGTAAATACAGGTATTTGAGCCCAGAAAGGGAAGGCTTTGCACATTATTTATTGAATGAGACTGTGTGGTAATGAGGTTTTTCTCTTTGCTTCACACTGTTTGAGAAATCTGCCCAAATGAATCATTGTGGTTATTGGCTTAATGAAGCTTTTTGGTCTTTTAAAATGCGCTCTCACAGTCTGAGAATGTGCAGACCTCACAGTGCAGGGTTTTGCATCACTGTGCTGCTGCCCAGCACTAAAATGACCTCACAATAAACCACATTGTATTGAGAACACATAATAAAGTGAGTATGCAGCTTGATCTACAGTACTGATTTTAGGAATTTTCTGCTTTATATCTGTAATTTCTGGAAATGAACTTCATGTAACAATGAGTGTATTGATTGGTATCCGCTTTTTTCTCTTTCTGTCTAGCAACAACGCACAGTGTACAGACTTACACTGGTGAAAGCCTGGAATGTGGATGAGCTCAAGGCCTACGCAGAGCTGGTAGCTCTGGGAAAACCTGACTTCATAGAGGTGAAGGTAGGTCTCTGGCGGCAAATGTCAGTTGAAAATGTCAGATTCTGTTTTATGCATGAGTCTGTAATAGTTTCAGACACAGGTGCAAACTTTTAACAACTTTTATTGGGGGTGCTTGTCTTTAAACGTATTAACTTTATCAAATAATCACCCCCCCCCCCCCAACGAAATATTTTTTCCTAACTCATAGCTCCTGCTAATGTTGGCAGAGTCTATCCTGCACAGACACTTTTAGACATGAGATGTCAGTTGGCATGATTGACTGATAAGTCATTAAACGATCAATCAAATGAGTCACAATTAACTGTCTGTTAATTAGTTATAATAATGCTAATGATAATAATAAGGTTACTGTGGAGTCCCTGACATAATAGTTATTCAACATTCTGAATGTGTGATCCTGCAGTATTCTCACAAACATGTACGAAGTAAAAATTAATTCGCCCCTGCTCTCACAATAATATGGTCAAAATTCTTGGGGTGCTTTAGCAGCCGCAGCACCCACAGAGCTGGTGCCTTTGGCGTTATCATCAGTTTTATTGAATCTCCTCTCTGTAGGCTTGAAACATGCAAATCCCCTAAAGCAAGACCACTAGACCACTTGTTATGTATTGTGGACATTTAGTATTTGATGCTCTTCTTTTTTATTTAGAAACATGTATTTTTTTTGTTTTTTTTTGCAGTGTAAACTTAAACACTCTAATGAACTAACCGCACCTGGAGAGGTTAATATGCTGGACTGCTGTCAGTTTGCAAAGGGGCTATTGGGAGGCAAATGAACTAAGGCAGCACAAGGCTGATTATCAGTGTACTGGGTTCTCTTTCATTGGGAAGAATTCAAACATTATAATAATCTGTGATGTTTAACAAATATTGTAATTTGAATCAGAGGGCACAACCAAAGAAAGTGTCTTAAAGAGTCTAACGTCAATGCTGGGCTGTACATTGCACTGTAAACCACCTGCAGTGTCCTTACTGAATGACGACAACAGTACAGTGCAGTACAGACCATTGTGACCATCAGAATAGAGGAGTTTAAAAGACTGCTCCCATTACTGAATTAATACTAAAGCTAAAAAGTGCATTTTTGATAGTTACCTGTGAAATATAACCTCAGTAATATGACAGCCTGTCGTTACAGAAGTACATTTTCATTTTCAGTTCTCCCTTTAAGATAGTAATGAGAATAATTGCATTTGTATTTTTTATATTTTCTTGGCTGTAACAGAATTATGAATAGATTTGTTTTCGACTCAGAGTTCATAAAAATAAACAGAGTGTCATACCTTTAAGTTTTGTTGTTGATATGAGTCTAAACTCTTTAGGCGGTATTAGTCACTGTGCTTTCCTGTTGTTATTGATCCAAGTAGACACTAAGCCTGAATTTCTGTCTTAGAATAAAAGGATACTGAGCTGCCTTAACATTTTTCAGTTGTATTTTTTTATTGTTATTCTTTGATTTTCTTTCTTTATTCAGTAAAAGTAATTTAATGGAATATTACCATACTTCTGTCTAAGAGTATCATGTGCCTTTCCTTAGATAATCTTGGCTTCTGAGAAATTTTTCCTGAAACCCCTGAATATCAGAAACTGAGAACTGGTTCCATGTTAAGTTCCAAGCTAATTTATGTACCATTCATCAATATGTAGAAAAGGTTTCTGTAATATCTATGTATCTGTATTTGTGTATATATATATTTTGCAAAATGTCTGTCAAGTAAATGTCCATCAGTAATAGCACCATATTGCATACTAAGTCTCATAGAGCAGAGCAGTTTCACTCTCGCATGGCTTTATTTAAGCTGAATATTGTATCATAAGCTTGGATAAGACTAGACGTTTAAGCAAGGCAGTGTTGGAAAATATAGTACTTAGGTCTGCCCATGTTCTGTGTTTTTTGTTCTGCAACATAAATTCTAATTCCCATTGAAAAACTGTTGCATAGCAACTTCTTGAACTCGTTGTACATTAAGAATGAGACAGATATATGTAATTTTATTTGACACTTACAGTATTTGACTTGCTTCTTTGCTTATGCAGTTTCTTTTCAAAGACAGCTGGCTCTGAATATTAATTCCGAGACACACTGGATATTTACTATAGTAAAAAAAATAAGCAAAGCATAAGCCAAAATTCACCAAAAGGATTCACTTGCTTTTTATTGTTATTGTCAAAGTTTGAACTTGGTACACTACAATAGTCACCTGTGGTCAGACTTTGGCTTCATCTTATTTTGAGATGAATTAGCAATATTCTGAGCAAAACTGGCAATACTGACTCAACATAACCCCTGTCAGTGCTTCAGAACCTCAGTCCTATCAGTGCTTTATACTGTTATCTGTATTTTTATAGTTGAAATGCAGGTTAAATTAAAACTTATATTTTTTTTAATTATAATATAAGAGTCAGCAGACATTTATGCTTAAATTGGTTCTGTTGGATCTGTCCAACTTAAGAACTCCCTGCTGCACATTTTCAGTTGCCAATTCTGTTGATTTGCATCTCTCCTGGGTCTGTTACTTGAGGAATTAAAATAATGACAATACTCACAAGTTCATTGTGTGCATGCTACTGTACTACAGTTTGTTTGCATTTCAGAGCAGAATAAAATAGAGATTTTTTATTATTATAAACTTTATAATAAGATATTTAAGATTCTTATTCACTGGTCTTTTTTTCACTAAAAGGAGAGTCACAAGGCTCATTTTTGCATTTTTGAATTGCAGTTTTAGGTGTTTATAAAAATAGAGAAGCTTTACTCTTTAAACAGCATGTTAATTAATTCTTCAGGTGCTTTGTCCTTTGTCTTGTGCTCTCCTGCAATCTACAGTATTAGCTAATTTCTTTTCTGCAAAGGAGAGAATCAAGCTGTTGTTTAATGCAATCATGATACTTAATGTAATGACATCATTCTCAGCCAATAGTGCTATGTATTGGGAAAGGCACATTTCATTCAAAGTAAGCACTCAAAGCAGCGCACACTTAAAAGTATGACATGCTGTAACCTAGCAACAATAACCACCCACTTTGAAAAGACTACAAGAGCCTCTGAATTCATTGTGGTCTCTCCAAGCTAAAATGAAAGATTGTGAAATACCTAAAATAAATAAACATTTAAATAACAGCCTACTGTATTGGGTATTCATACTTTAAAAAAGTTTTTATGCCTGGTCTCCGTAATTGCTTATGGGTCATTTTTATGGGTTGGTTTGTAAGGACAGTTTTTCTTTTTTCAATTCAACCGGCAAATCATTTTTTTCTCGTTAGGCAGACTGAGGTTTCAGTCACAGGCCATTGTTTTTTTATTTGTTTGTTGTATTCAAACTCAGCCATTTAGTTTTTGTCTGGCTCGTTCTGAGTCATAGTGTTAACAGCAGGGAGCTGACTTAATTCGGTGTGAGTATGTCAGAAAACCTCAGAATTTCCTGAGTTCATTGAAAAAAATGAGTTCATCTTTTTATTCGTGAAACCTGCTGGTTTTACTAATGGGATCAATCATCGGTTGCATTTTGGTTTCCTGCGGTTCTTTACGATCCTCGCTCATAACTACGAATGCAAGAAGTGTAAGCTGGTTGTTGTTGTCTCCATTAACATCGAAGCTTATGCAGCTGAACTTTGTCCAGCTCTTTTTTTTTTTCAATCAGTAGTAAATCATGATTTGTGCGTAACCTGTGAAAGATAAACCCACTCTTCTTCAGAATCCGTAAATGCTGTGGATGAGTCAAATTTTCACTTTTGAAATGTATTAAAAACAGGGGGGGTTGGCAGGATGCAGAAACCTTTACAACGGCCCCAGAAATCTAATCTGAAAGTCTCTATATTATTAATTCTAACCTACCTCTGATTTAAAAGGCGGCTCTTGTGTCGGGCTTGCGAATTATTAAATTAGCTCCAAAGGCATGCCACATGGAGTGGACCGTGGAGGAGTGCTGGAACTCCCTGGTGTGGCGCCACATCAGTATTCTGTGTAAATCAGAGTGACCCTCTTGATGGCCTGGGGGTTTGTTGATTTATGTTTTAAATAATGAGCTCCTCTGCAAGTCTTGACATGCTTTATGGTGTGCGCCCATAAGTTACGGTTGTGCTCAACCCCCTTGCAGCTGCTCCTCCTGTAGTTCATATTTCCAGCAATTACATTTCTGCACAACATCTGTTCGTCTTTAGGTTTTGCATCTACGAAACAAACTTCTTCCTCCATTAGTCCCGTGTTTCTTATGCGCAGCCACCTGTAGTGTTATTATCTGCAGGTATGGCAATCTATGTGAGGTGTCCACGTCGCCTCGTCTACCCGGTTGGAACAGGGTGAGCAGAATGACGATTTGGAACAGGGAATCACTCTGGGGCTTTTTGTTCGCTCTGTCCTTTTGCTCCTCCGTTCTCTCCATTTTAAAAGCTGGATTTGTTTACAAAAGAATGGTTTTAATGTGGTACCAGTTCACAGCTGAGAAGAGGGAGTCAGGGGACTGGTTGCATTCATCAAGGTATAGGACTGAAAGCACGTGACTATTGGTTATATGCTCGCAAAGCTCATTATATCCCCCAAATGCTTTCCTGGTACCAGGCTCCTTTAAATGTCCTTCCCGTTAGAGTTGCAAAAGGGCAGGGAAAAGGGTTTCAATTTGTCAGCTTGAGACTGCGGGCTTCAATACTCCTTGCTGCAAGATTTTGGTAGCAGCCTGATGCTCTTTAATGAATTTTTCCTTGTAGTTATTAATTTCTGAACTCTACACTCCTGCTATTTCAAGATCCTAATGAACCATTGTGATTTTGTTATTTTTAAAAATGAATCTAAAAACAAGTGGTGCATGCACACTGTAATCTGAGGCTGAAGGAGGTTCAGAGAAACAGTTACGCTGTCTTGAAGGAAAGCTTCTCTTAAGCATTGACTTGCTGAATTTTCTATTAAACCACAGAGGGCAGCGCTAGCCTTGCAGAAACTGTCATCTTTCTTTGTTAATATCCACACTGGGACCACTTACTTCAAGATCCCCTTCTGGGATTCTGAGTCACTGGCTCAGCCTTCTGTTAGCAATTTGTTGGCTTTCATTGATCTTCATGTGTTATACTTGGCATTGGCGGAATAAGAGATTCTTGTTAAATTATAAAAGTATTCTGTGCGGACTGTTACTTGTCACTTCTTGGCTTGACAAGGGAGTGAGGTTGACAAGGCAGCTGCTTTTGTGACTTTTGTGCATTAGATCCATGGTCTCTGTTTCTGTCTATATCTATAGGGGCCCAAAGGTCTCCTTCCAGGTGAAAATGACTGATTCCATTCATCAGCTGAGGTCACGCACCTGCATATCATCTCATTAGCATTACAGGTTCATTATTTGTTGTGAATAATGTTGCCTCGTCCCTACAGTTGGAGATAGTAGACCCTACACTCATCATCAGGAGGAAAACAGCCTTCCTAAACATCATCTACTCTCTCACCCAGCACAATCTGAGGAAAATGTAGATGTGTACACACACTGCTTAAGTGCACCAGTACACTGATGTGTTGAGCTGTGGCAGCAGATTTGAAGATTGATTTAAAGTATAGGTATAATAGAGATTGCATGATGATGGAATGGTGATTGAACAATGGACTGGGTGTATGGTGAGATGCAGTAGAAAAGAACAAAAGGGATGGAGAATTTCTGCTTAAATAACTATGAGCAGAACTTTACTGTAAGTGATGTGAAGTGTGTACTCCAAACTTTATGTATTAAAAAGGATAAGCTAGTTCAAATTGAAATAAAAACTAGGTTCTTAAATATAAAACAACCGTGGTAATTGGCAAGATTCCAAAGATAAATTCGGTCTGATTATAGCAAAATGTAAATTAAAAGCAAGCCTACAGTTCCATACTGGTTTTGCCTCACATCTCAGAACAGATTACATCTTTTAGATTAGTATCTTTTAGATTAGCACTCACAAGTGTATTAATTTCCTTTTTGATTACATTGTCTTCAGCTGATGGATATTTTATGTGAGTTCAGACCTCAAGACTGAGGCTTGAGGACATTATGTAGCCCTGTGTGTAGTGCTGTACATTAGCCTTTGTTACTGTTGTAATCGCAATCCCAGTGGTTGTGTGTGGTTCTGCATAAAATAACAGAAATGGTGGTGATTATTTATTAAAAGTACCAGAGGTAAATTTTGGTGGGTAATAAACAGAATGTTTCATTGATTTTTATTTCAGAGTCTGTCAGTTTAGTTTGTCGGGTGTTTTACGGACTGAATAAGAGCCTGTTAAAGAGCTAAGCAAATAAAAATAATACCTTTCTTCTGGTGTGTCAGGGTATCATGATTCTTGTTAATGGTCTGTGTACTCAGTGCCACTAAATGCCTTGAAAATTTCTTGCAGGCTGATGAGATCCATATCTGACTTAGAAAAGAGTTATATCAACTTTATCAGTCCTAATATTTGTTTCGGAGCCTTACTAAATTTGCACTCGTGCATCTTTTTCTTAGAAGTTCTATGGATGTTTGGGGAAAAAAAAAGCACTGTCATCAGTCCGTGTTTTCATAGTGGTGTCAGTTTAGCATGCAGTTCTTTGTGTTCACTATTGCCTGCAATATCCCTCCCCAAGCCAGCCTTGTTGAAGAAAGGTTGCAGAGGCCAGAACTGCAGGCGGCAACCTTCCTTGTGAATAGTGGGAATGTTAATGGAGACTGGCATCTTGGCGCCTTGATCTTGATGTGATATCTGTCGATAGCAAGAAAACTGGTGTCAGTCTGAATTCCAGCCTGTCCCCGGGGAAGCATGAGACCTTCTTCTAAATTGGTCTCCGGTGCCATGTGAGAAAAGCCCTTGGGCAGTGCCGACAGGTCCCCCCCCCCGTTATTTTAACAATCCATGTCCCCTGTACTCTTTAAATTTGACGTCTGTCCTCAAGCTTGCGCTGTCTGGTGCCAGAGCTTGGTTTGAGCTGCTTTGTGTGGCAGCTGATAGGTTTTTGAAGGGACACCTGCGGCCTGGCGACCGGGCCTTGCCTATCACCGTTTGTCAGGGGGCACCTGGGAAAAGTCTCTTAACCCATCTGTGAGCCTGTCCTCTCAAGCCGATCTTTTCTGGTCCTGCCCGTGCAGCATTAACATCTGTTTGATTTCTTCTCCCCCCTCTGCGACCAGGGAGTGACGTACTGTGGAGAGAGCTCTGCCAGCAACCTGACCATGGCTAATGTTCCCTGGCACGAGGAGGTCACCCACTTCGTGCAGCAGCTGGCAGACCAGCTTCCCGATTACGAGATCGCCTCAGAGCACGAGCACTCCAACTGCCTCCTCCTCGCACACATCAAGGTAAGACGGACTCCTCGCCCGGCGCTGTCTGACTCCCCTTATCCATGTGTGAATCGGGCTCCAGTTTCATGTTCACATGTTCCTCCTAATGTGCGAAGGCCCTCAACCAAATTCATTCCCTTTGACATAGCCTTGGATTTGCAGTGCCTTAACCACCTTCTGCTTTTTATGTTTAGAAAATATATAAAACGCTGTACAAACTACTGTACATTGTCAGATGTTTGTTGTCAGCTGAATCCCTCTGTTGAAATAGCCTGTTCAGGGTCCGTATTCTTTTTTTTTTTGTCTTTCTGCCATTTTGGCTGAGACGATATAGTCTGCTTATTGGACTTACTTTCAGCTGTCAAAACAAGAACCTGCAGTCTTTCTGCAGAAATTTTTTTTCTTAACATGTTTAACACTGATTTCCTGATCTTGATCTTCTTTTGATTAAAAGTTCCTGTTAATTTCTGCATATCCCAGTTGCCATATTGTATACAGTTTGACATTTATTTCTTATGGTTAAATCCTTTTAACAAGGTGTTTGTTTGTTTTTTGTTGGACCACATTCACGTCTGGCAGTATTAGTATTTTTGTGGCAGACTTCCATTTGTGAAACTCTTTGTGCTGGTCTATTTATAATAACAATTATATGCAAATGTTTTTTTTTTTCGCTTTCCAAATCAGCCTCTTAAGCTTGTGGATCAGACTGAGAGTTAAATGCTCCCTCATTTAAAAGTTGCCAGTGTAATGAAGTACTCTTTGTGTGCTTTAATGTTGCAACATTTCTCCAGCAGTGATTGTTTCTTGTCATGCCAGCTCAACAGTAAGCCATCCATGGAAAATAAGCCTTTACCAATATGACAGCATTCCATAGATTGTGCCCTCTGTCCCGTGGTATTAATTTCATGAACTGGAATCCCATATACCTAATTGTTAATGAGTAATGATTCATTGTGTTCTAGTTTTTCAACAGTGGAAAATTCATCACTTGAAAAAAAATCACTGCACAGTTCTGTTGCAAAGAAAAGTTCTGTTTAAGATGCAAATCTCTCCCAGGAGTTCATTTTTTTTTTGTCCCTGGCTGAACCTTTTGATATTTAAACATGAAAGTCATTATTTTGCCCTATTTATTTTATTAAATGTATCTTTCAGCTCGGTGTTCTAGCACTTAAATTGCAACCTCTGATTCTTTGCCTGATTTGTGTTTCTACGAAGGTAGAGATACTGCCAGTTTATTTTTTTTGTGCGGAAAACAAATGTTTGGTGGGAAAGACAGCTCAAATATTTTATAAGCAAAGATTTGCAAAGTTCCAGTGGTGTTGCTGCTTCCCTTTGGTACCTACACTACATGTTATGACCTGTCAAACTGTAACCTGATCACCAGCCACCGTCTTTGATTGTGAAAAAGCCACAGTTTTCTGCATTAAGATGTTTGGGGTTGTTGCTCTCTCACTTGACCTCAACTGGTGTATCAGCCAATTATTTCAATGCAGAGATTCGCAATAACTGACTGAAGCCTGACAGGTCATAACCTGATCCAGACAGCTGGAGGTAGTGAGACTGTTAATGAGTTTTCCAGTGAGTTAGATGGCAGATGATCTCTTCGTCACTGGTGAATGACTGAGGTTGAAAATGGTAGACCAAAACGATAGGATACTCATGAATATTTGCTATAGCTATTTAAATCTTATTTAGAGTATTTGACTGCATGCCAGAGAAACGGAGGGAGATCAGTCTTCGATATTTTATACACAGGGTTTTCGCTCTTTACCTTACAAGAGGTTAGTTCAAGAGCAAAAACCCTTCATATAAACTATAGTGTTTAATAAATTGCTTAACTCATCTATCACTGCAGTGAAGCCTGGCAGGACTGGATATTCCTTGTGCTCAGGAACACAGATTCTAGGGAAATTTTTCAAAATTGTATTCTGTGGCTAACTAGGTGGCTCCCTATGGCCTGACCCAAGAGCTTTCCAAACTGTGAATAAGTGTTCCATTAAGAAAATGTCAGTGCTTGTGATGTTGTGATGTTTTTCTTTCTACAATATTAAATGTGAAATTTTGAATGTCTTGGATCTCATTCATAGAAGAAATTATGAATGAGAGGAACTTTGGCTTTTTTCCTATACTTGGTGACTGAAATTCTACAGTCAATGAGGATATTTGCAGTACCACTGCACTGAACCTACACGACTTGCACTATGCACTCTCAGAATTCTTCCCTCCTACAAACAATGACCATGCTTGGGTCAAAAATGGGTTTTCAGTTAAGATGAAGCCATTTGGCTGAGCAGCGCAAGATTATGAGAGTCGATTAACTTGACTTTCGGCTCTCAACTCAAACAAAGGTTTGACAGATTTTCGCTAAATAATTTTTGGAACAGCCTACTTCAGGAGTTCCTGAATGTAGTAGAAGCATGTGGTTTGAGTTCCCTTTGATATGATACGCTCATGTGAAACTCGATGTTTGTATCACACTGCAACAACATTAAAATACAGGGATAGACTTGATCCTTCATCTAATATGAGGATCTTGGTTTCTGGTCCTGTTCCCAATATTAAGTGATTTTGTGATTGAAAGACACAGAAGCACTCTTTCCATTAAAACATGTCAAATGATGCTTATTTATATATCATTATATAATTCATTTACTGTATGGAAATGGAGCAGATGGTTCACAGCAGGGTGAATATGGATGGGGAGACCAGCTCGCCTCCTAACTGCTAGATGGTGCTCTGGTGCCAGGTGTTTTAAGAATGGACTGGCAGCTGTCCAGCTACTATTCCTTTATAAGTCACTGTAGACCTTAGCTGTGCTTTCATCTTCCTGTTGTGCTACCTTCTTCCTTACCAAACCAAAGAGTAAAACCCACATACAAGCACAGCAATACACTTATTTACATAAACATTATATGCAAACCGTTTCCTTTGCTTCTCAATTTCAGTGGACAGTGAAGTCCCAGTTTCAGGTAGCTAGGATGCTGTTTTCATTTGGAGCTTTATTTTCTTTTAAACCACAGCTATAACCACGATGGCCTGCACCAAAGCTCCTAGACATTGTGTGAATGTACTCCCTCACCAGAATCATTATGGTCACCTCTTGTTCCCTAAAGCTACAGGCCCCATAGCTGAAACAGTTAGCATTTCCAAATTGGGTGGATATAGTAAAACGAAAATGACTAAATCAGTATTTCTGACATGCTTTACTGAGTAACCACTAAAAGTGATTCTTGGGAGTCAGTCCTTCCTGTCATCAGTTTTGACATTTGACTCAATTGAGGGTTAATTGTTGCCGAGAATGTGAGATTCTTTTTCCAAAACAGTTAAAGGTCAAGTATAGATCAAGTAGCTTTAAGTTTCTTGGTTTTTGTATGTTTTCTGATTATATTGTTTCTGTGATTTTGGCTTATGTTTGTTTGCTGTTTTATCTGCCATATTTTGAGATGTTTTTCCTCATGAAAGAATGGGAAAACTTTAATCCGTTCATCCATTTTCTAACCGCTTCATCCATTTCAGGGTCACTGGGGAGCTAGAGACTATCTCACCAAGCAATGGGCTCAAGGCAGGGTACGCCCTGGGTGGGACGCAGGGCACATACTCAGTGGGAATACATGAGTGTACTGTAAAATGCTTGAATGGTATCTGCAGGAAATTTAATCATTATGTTTCCAGGAAGCATGTCTTTAGGAGTGTTGAGGAGCCATTTTTCATTTAATACCTTGTAATTCATCATAGACACATCTGTCTGTGAAGCATTTTCAATATTTTATTGATTTATTTTTATATGGGGTCCTTGATGGTTCCCTTATTCCCTTTACACCTCGTATCTGCTTTAGTCCTTCTCATTAATTTACACCTTCCTGTAGTCTGAATCACTGTGAGCCCCATGTCTTTGCACTTTCAAATGCATTTTTTGTCACGCCCACTCATCAAGAAAAAAATATTGAATTTATCTTTAAACGTTTAGATGTTTACAGGTTTCCCCTTAATTGTTTGTGTTTTATAGCATAAATGCAAAGGGCTTTGTAAAGAGACAAACAAGAGTTTCAGTCTAACTTGATTTTGTCCCACTTTAACACTTGTGTAATGAAATAAGTGTTTAAAGGTTGGGCACAAATCCAGCGCACAAGGCTAGCTCTTTGCTTTAAGTTTGCTGTTTGGCAACTCATACAGCAAACACAGTTTAAAGGCATTAGTTAAGAGCTTTAGCTTACTTTTATTACACTTGTAAACAACAGTATGCTTTTATTTAGGGAGGCAGCCAAAAGAGATGGAACTTAATTTTGTGGGTCATTAATGGCATTTAAACGAATGCACTGCAATTGTTAGCCCTGAACCAAAACAGATGCTAGATTTATAGAATTTATTGTGGAACTTCACCGAACAGGCACATAAATTATTTCCGCTCTTTCAACAGCTAGTCTTTGTGTCATGTAATTTTCAAGACTCTCATGCTCACAAGCTGTTGCCTAAACAGTTCGGGTTATTTCAGTTAAAGAAGTACCAGTCAGTTTTAAAATGCATTACCCTGTTCTTTGAGAACTGTACTATATTTGCAAAACTACCTGTTATTATTTTTAAACTGTTTGATACGGGCAAGAAATGGAAAACAAGGCCATAGCTCATTGAGTGTTTTATAGGACGAAAAGAGCCCATAGCTACCAAAGGATTCACAGTGGCAGGTGATGTTGTGGTCAGTTGGAAAAATTCATCCCAAATGTGTTAAATCACCTCATGAGTCGGGTAGCCACACATGCAAGCATGTTCACACATTAGATTGTTTGGATTGTAGAATGATTTGATTGTAACAATGTTTCATTTGTTTGGGAATAGTCCAACTGGAAACTTTACAAACCCATATCATTCATCAGTAGGTGAAGATGGATATTTTGCCATTTCCTCTGATCCAGAATGCATTTCTTTATTTTCTTCTGCATTCAATGTTTTTGCACTTCTATGACAGGTATCTTCAAACCAATCAGCTAAGGAAGGATTGTGGTGTTTTTTTTAGTATTTGAGTTTTCTGCATGAAAGAAATACAAAATGTTGTTTCTAAAGATTTCTAAAGCTACTCTCTGCACAAATCTAGGGGTAAGGAACTTTCTGTGTGTTCCTCTGCAGATATTTGGGTTTAACGTTATCTACTGTTAAAAAATTATTCAATTTAAGATTTACAAAGTGTTTCACTTTCAAGTAGGTTAAGAATTGCAGCATTATGTTCTTGGGGCTGAATAAGAAAATTCTTTATTTTTAGAACTTGACCTGAGAATGTACAGTAGATGTTGTAAACAATACACCCTTTGACTTATAAAATGGGTTTATGTCGATATACCCTACCATTATCACCTCAGTTAAATGGGATTTCCAAACAGTCATAAGCCAAAAATTGAAATGGATTTCTAGCCTCCTGTGATGGTGACGAAGAAAGTAGCTCCAGTATTTCCTGCGGTGACCTATTGGCAGAGTGTGTTGTTTATTTAGTTTAGTTCGGAGACCAGTGGGAGTGGAGGTGGTGATTCATAGATGTGAATTGCTATTTAATGAAAACATGAGGCCCTCTGGATGTGCCCCCTGGAAACCTTTCTTGTAAAGGGTTGTAGACAAACAAGATTGATAGGGTTTTGAGTCATCTGCTTTGAAGAAGCCTAAATACAAGGATAAGAACCAGTATGATATAAAAATCCACATTGGTCTCAACAGATAATGCAGAAGGGGAATTAAAAAAAAAACTCAGAAATGAGTGATCGCGGTAGCCTTTATTCTGCATCAAAATTACAGTTTCTACAAATAAACTTGGAAGCTTTTGTTGTTACGGAGTTAGTTGAAATCGCTGACTGCTCAGTCATCAGTTTTCTCTTTCACATTTGTCCCACATGGTGTTTGCAATGCAGCCAGATTCATAGGAAGCAAGCTTTTTTTTATTTTTCTGAAAACGTTCACCTCTCTAATGAGCTGTGTAGTTTGGGAAATAAATGTATCCAATCCTGAATGTGAAAAAATAGCTGTGTAGTTAATATAGAATATGAAGCAATGCAGTACCTGAGTAAGGGGACTTAAGAGAGTTCTTTCAATGTGTATAATTCAGACATTTACATATGCCTGCAGCCCCTGCTTGTATCTGTTTCGGTTCTGTCTGCCACTCAGTGAGATGAAAGAGATTTGACATTGCCCACGCTGTTTCTATGAGTTTCAGAAAGATATTAATCCCCTTAGCTGTCAGATGCAGGTTTGAATGACAGAACAGGAAAGAAACCTCTTTGCTCGTGCCCCGATGTTTAAGAATCTATAAACAATTAAATCCATGCTTAGAGTTGTCTTGTATTTTAATCTGAGAAAATATGAAATCCTGCTTTGCTCAGTTTGGGTCTTAATATCAGTGGAGGAGAATAATGTGGGTTGTGTTTTTTTCTCATTTTACGTATGATAGGTCAGTGCATCAGCTGTGTTCAAAGCATTCAGTAGCAGATAATGCACCGCCTCCCCCTTCCTGTGATAGATGCAGTGGTAGAGCTAATATGAAATACTGAAATTGAATAATGTGACTGAATCCCATTAGCAGATTGAAGAAGTTATGCAAAAGGCAGAATTGAGGATGATATGTGCTTAATAGGCCAAATTGCTGTATTATTTATTCTGAGATTCCCACTCTATAGTGATTTGTAGTCCAATTGTAGGCCTGTGTTTCTCGACGATCCTTTTGGCAGACTATAAAATGTATAACAATCTGCTGTGGACAAGCATCAGCAGCTATGAGCGATTGCCACATTCACACTTGGCTTTCTTTTGTTTTCAGTCTCAGTAAAGCCTCTTTTAATAATACGCCAAGGATAATTTTTCGGAACCTGTTTTGGTGGTGAATTAAACAGGAAGGCAGACAGAGTGTGGTTTTGTGAAAAGAACTAGAAATTCCTTATTTCTTTGTAGTGGATTGAAAAAAATATGGGGCAAACTAGAGACTTAAGAAACTTAAGAACAAACAGACCACCAAAAAAGGACAAAGAAATGTTAAACTGGTGTAAACCTTATGACTGTATTTACTAACTAATGCAAAAGTGTAACTGATTGTACCTTATGACAGCATATTGGTTGCAGGGTTTCTTTCTCAAAATCAGGAGTGAATGAAATTTAATCAATGTAGCTCACTGGATTTGCTGCATGTCTGTTCAGAAATGGATTAAGAAACCTTGGGCCTTTTTGGAGCAGCCGTGACTGTTAATGGTTATTGCTTTCCGAACAAACAGAGCGCCAAGTCACAGCTCTGTCTTTGTGTTCGTGTTCCTGCGTTTTGAGGAGACTGAGATATGTAATGGAATATATACCTACATATAGACAAGGATAGAGAGATGTAGCTATGAGAAGCAAGAAAACACCTGTTGATTTTCAGTCTCTTGTCTGATGACGGAATTGCAAATAAACATGTTTCAGCAACATTCCAAACCATGAGATACAAACTACAGTGTTGGTAAATAATTTTCATCCAGTGCTGCAGCCTGGATTTATTTTATGCAAAGATATCAATTTTTCCTTTTTAAAATCGGGAGCCTGTCTATGTATACTGAAGTGTCAAATATGTTCGACAGCCAAATTATTTTTTAACATTAGAATGATGGATTATAGTTCTGGATGCAGACGTAGCCTTCATCAATGTTTTGTGTACGTTGTTTCTCTTTCTGACTGGGGAATAATCACTCATCGTTCTGTTTCTATTTTCTTCAAGCTGGGTAATAGTTGCCACTAATAATTTCCTATTACTATAGCAGCATTGGGCTTGCCAATGTTTTGTGCTTGCTTAAGGGTAAAACAAGGAGCAGAGGGTCTTGTATTCAGGTAACTCACGCACCAATGAGTGCCTCCTTGGCACCACACCGTCTTTAGTTTGCACCAGACCAATTGTTTTGCTGCTTTAGAGCAACATTATTAGGTGAGAAAATGGCCTATATCTGTGACAAATTGGTTGGGGTCTGGGAGTAGGGCCAGAGCAGTTTCTCAGCACACTGTGATGGGGAATGTCTGCGTCAGTGAACGTCCAGTACAGAACTTCCCTGGCTAGGAATGCAGACTTTAACTCTGTCTCGTTTGTGTTTTTGCTTGAGAGTAGAACTGTCACAACCTCCTCTCTAAACAATGGGTTTTGTGAGTTCTTGTAGTTAAACGTGTCTGATCCACATTTGAAATTGCTTTCAAAATGTATGGCTGTTGAACAACATGTCTTTTCAACCACAGGGTGATTGGCACTCCCCCTGGATTTTCAGTGGTGCTCTGGTTGAAAACTCATTACAACCCACTAAGTGCAGTTGGTTAAGCCTTAGATTTCTCAGCATTGTAATACTAGAATCAGATGTCAGCAGTCTGGAGAGTGAGGGCTGGAGACAGACTGAACTACCCTCTTACTGTACACTGGAATGGCAGTGGCACATCTAACTGTACCCTCTCTGTCTCTTTTATGTGCAGGAGTTTGACTGAAGGGAGCAGATTGAAGTAAAACAAATAATTGAAAACTGCTACTTTAACTTTGCAGATAAATAAGGCAACAGAAAGTGGTTTCTTTTGAAGTGCGCTTGGCTTGTTAAAGTCGCAGAAACAGGATTACCTCCAGGTCTCTGTAAGAATTCTCCTCCTCAGGTGTCCATGTGCAATTTTATCTGTCATGTCTGCAGAAATGGATAAATTATCCGCCTTTGTTTCTTTGCCCCCTCTTTCCCGTCGTTCAGTTTAAAGTTGCTGGGGAGTGGTGGACCTGGATCGACTACGAGAGATTCCAGGAGCTCGTCGGGGAGTTGGAAGAGAGTGGGGGCGCAAACACCTTCACAGCTTTGGACTACGTGGCAAAGACTCCCAGATGGGCCGTGTTCGGGGCCAAGGAGAGAGGGTTTGATCCTGCAGACACCCGCTTCCAAAGAAAAAACAAAACTAAGGATCTTTCCGGATGCTGACACTGGTTGACCTTCCATTAGGTTATCTCTTTCCTTGTTCAAAGTTTTTTTTTTTTTGCCTGGTTTTAACTCATAAAAGATCAAAGCTGGATGTGCCCAGTTATTCTTCTATGAAAGGATGTGCATGTGAGTGGTGATATCATCTTCCAATTGACAGACACCTGTCAAGATCATTTTGGGATGCATTTGTGGAGAATTTGGGTTTTTATCCGCTGGTGCTTTACCAGGATTTTATTCTCTAGAAATAACTCTCCATAATTCCTTTTTAAAGGCATATCTTTAAATTGTCATCTCTTGAGTTTTTGCACTTGTTAATCATTGATTCACATGAACAGGTCTCTGTACTTAGGTCTACAAAATCAGGGATTTTAGGTGCTTTTTGTGACCTTAGCTGAATTGTCTGATAGTAGCTGTTACTTCTCCGTAGTTGGTACACTCTGCTGTTGAGCCAAGTCGTTTTAAGGTATGTTTTTAGAAAAGTTCAACAGAGCAGTTGTTTTTCTTCCTCCCTCATGTGATCCCAATAAAAAAGAAATAAAAATGAATGTGTGGCTTTTTTCAAAGTAATTTGCAAAAGAACTGGTTTCACATTCCAAAGTTAACCTGTGCCCTAGACATCAGCACAGCAGATGAACTGCCAAACCCTGATGAGTCTCCAGTAGGCTAATGTGTGAAGTAATTATTGTGATTGTTTTGTAGCTGGGATTTCGTTCCCTTTCCTAGTATGCGGCCACATTGCCTAAACAGTGAAATTAAGCTTGCTGTCAGTGCTGAGGTTTGAGCCAGACAGAAATGAACCCCAATGTCACTTAAGGAGGTTGGTCTTCTTTTTTTTATCAAAACAGCATTTGCTTCTTTCTCTTGTAAGCAAGAAGTAACAGCCGCTGGACAGACAGAAGGCAATTTAACTTTTATACTTTCATAGATTTTGAGGCAATTTGCAATGTTTTCTTTAACAAACTGCTTAACATACAATAAAGAAGATAAAAAAAATGGACATTTGGGTATGTTGCATTTGTCCGTGTCTATATGGATGTAACATTCCTGTACGTAAATCACAACATCCTATTGGAGTGCATGAAATATTATCTAAGGATGACTGATATCCCTTTGTTAGTTTTAGCTTCTGTTTGGCTAACAGGAGCCAATTCATAACTCTGGGTGGTTTTAAATCTAGTGTTGTCCTACTTATCTGCGCTGTCTCACAAAATTCTGTATTGGGACCTTTACTATTAAGTATTTACAGGTCAGATTATTCACCATTCCACCATGGTCTGTGGTTTCACTGCTCCACTGATGCCTCTCAGATTTGCCTGCAGACCAACTGGATACTCCTGTGGCGGTTTGTGCATTTAATGGGTGTCATTGTGATCCTGTGACAGGGATGCAGCAGAACATTTTTAAGGTATACCCTGTGTGAAGACAAAGGTTGTGCTTTCAGACTCCCGACAGACTCATCTTTACAAAACAAGTGTCGCCGTTGGTAGCAGTAAAAGTGAACCCTGGAAGACCGAGACCTAGGTGTTATTTTTGACCCCTAAGATGCCATTTGAAAAATGTCAGTGACATCCCAGGGGTATGTTTTTAATGTCGGTGTCATGTTGCTCATGCTTAGTCTTGCTATATCTATCTTCTGTTGAAATATTGATAAGTGCCTGTACTTTAACAGGTTTCGACTACTGTATTACCTCACCTGCCTTGGGTGTTACCTTAGGGTTCCGAATAGGTGTCGGTATGTCCAGAATTCTGCTTGTTTTGGGCTCTCTAAAACTGCTTTCCATCAACATGATTCCTGTGGCATGTAAATTGCACTGGAAAATTTTGAATGCACTTTTAGTAAATTACCCTGTGTGATAAGGCACTGTATGGTCTTACTGCATCATTGATCATTTTAGCATGAGCTTCGGTGGTGGTACTTAAATTTGCTGACTTAGGCCTTCTCTGCCTGCTGAAGACTAAGTTCAACAAAGTATGCGATGCAGTCTTCCCCAGCACAGCTAATATCTTTGGATCTCTGTTCAAGCCTATTAAAGACTCTGCAATAGTCAACATTTTTAAATCTTCCTTGAAGATCTGTCTTTTCTCTATGGATTTTAACCGAGTACTCTTGATTAAAATAGAGTCAATCTAATGTGCTCCTTCTTTCTATTTCTTACTTCTATTTTGTATATAGCACATGCATTGTTGTACAGTGCTTTCAGCTCGTTGAAAACTGTTTATAAATTGAACTTTTTGTTGATTGTGATTATAATAATTTAATATATTTGAATTATCTTTCTCTGTTATTAAACCCAGAATTAATGTTCCATGGAACTGACAAGCATAAAGCTATATATTCAGCTTTCACAATTTTTCCACGCATACATTCATTCAGATTGCTGCTTTTCTGCACAGTTCTCCATTGAGATGGTAGACTGTTTGTCTACCGCCATGCTTGTGTCAGCAGAAAAATGCAGTTCATCTAGTCCCACAGATTCACACTGATCGAATGTGGATTTTGACCACTTTTAGCTGATGCGGTCAAATTCTATTGTCCCCTTTTGTCTTCCTTATTTTTGTTTTACTGCTGCTTCTGTTGTTTAGGTATTTTTGCACATTATTTTAGACCTTCCTTTGATGGCAGGACATAAAGAAGGCTTTATCAGCCAGTAAAGTAGGTCACGGTTGTCTAGATGTTGTATTATGATAAATTAGCTCTGAATGAATACAGTTGAGTAAAAGCTGTTCAGAAAAGGGCACTATAGGACAAAGAAAGAAAGCAGGAAGACAGGAGCATCTGATTCTATAGGCTCAGTGGTGACATGCAGTTATCTTCACGGGTGTCTCCTCTAAACTCATTATAGGTAATTGTGTTTTAATAATCTTATGACGGAGAAACATTTTGTAACAAAGGGCCCAGTTTCTCTATTCACTAATCACCTGCTAATATCATATCACTTTTAGTACATAGTATGGCTTATTATATCATCTTTATTTTTTATTTATTCAAGACTTCTGGGAATCATAAGCTTTTTACTGCTCCCTACAGAGACTTTTTGTCTTTTTTAAACATGAAAGAATTACTTTGCTTTGGTAATGTTAAGTAACTGTGCCTTTGCGTTAAAGTCAGTGTTTAGGAACGGTTTGTACAGTTTTGCTTTTATTCTGTGTTTATGCTGTAGGGGAAACTTCTTTGGAGAAATAATTTAGTTTTTGCAGTTAACGTCAGAAGTTATTTCAAAAACATTTCCTGTCAAGCCTGATACAATGCACGCTGTGATGTTGTCCATCTTTGGCTTGAAATGAATGGGGAGAGAAAACTGAAAAATAAGACAAAGTCATTGTATGTTGATTGTGACTGAATCGTAATTTGGCTGTCATTGTAATTGTGAGACAGACAGCTCATCAAAATGATTAACATGTTTTCGAACTGGGAACAATTATTTAATCTGGAGCACCAAGGTTTGTGAGCTAGTGCACACAGATGGGAAAATAATTCAGACACACAACAGCTCAAATAAGAGTGTGTACTGTAGGCGTACAAATGCTTATTGGAGACAAATAATGTATAGGATGTACTCCTTGTTTAGAAGTAAAACAATAATGACTTCTATTTGTCAGATTGTTTTATAGAACAGTGTTCCAGCCTGTTTTGGAAGCCCCTGAATTTAGCTCTCCTGGTGCTGGACAGATAGTGTTTGAGCCACTATACAAATTCTAACAATATATTTGGCAAAAATCAGAATTGATGTGTTTAGGAATGCAAATTTGGAATGACTTTTTCATGAATTCCTTTCTTAAATGCAGAAAATGGAGTGATCTATTCAGGCATTTCAGAGAGTTTTAAAAACAAGGCAGTCTGGCTGAAATAAAACATCACTTTGATGTCCGAGATGCTGCTAAAAATGTAAAGTTTTTACTTCGTTTGGTTCTAAAACCCATTCCCTCCCACAAGAAGCCTTTCATCAAAACCGTTGTCTGTGTTAACTATAGTGGCTTTGACATTAATGTGTTATCAAAAATGGAAAAAGCTCTATACAGGCAGAATTTTGCCTGCTGGAATTAAATCTGGATAGGACATAATGGCAGCATGAAGGAGAGGGAATAAGATGTTGATTTAAACTTTTTTGGTCTTACTGCCCTGAAGCACAGCTTTTTTTGGAGAGTCTTTTATTGAACACTTTTACTGAGCAGCCACCAAGCGTACTGATTAAATTCGCAAGAACTCTGTGACCCAGCTTGAATCAGTGGCTCATGAAGAACCTAATAAGATAGAGTTTCGCAGAGATGGCCATGAGATGCTCTCTTCCAACAGACTGATCTGTCTTGCTTTGCCTTCTTGATTTTTTTGGATGTGTTTCTGTTCTTTTGGGGGGTTTGTCTGGTGTCTGCGAGTAGACATATCACCTGTGGTTATCTGGATATTATTTTGTCTTATTGCCTATATTTCTCTCCATCTTAAAAACTCGTAAGAAACTAAAGGCAGAGATTATGAAAAGGTGCTTCACATGTAGAAGCCTATTAACAGTTTGAAGACAAAAAAATCCTATATTATTATTATTGATCGTTGCAGAGCGGTTGAAAGATTTTCTAGACTCACAAGTTCTGTCAGCCCAGACTGTAGTTAGACATCATTTCTCAAGAGTCAAAGGCAGGAAACAAAATGACAAGTGATTTACACTCTTACTGTTTGCATTGACATAAAACTCTTAATGGTCTTTGTGCAGGAGGATAAAAAAACAAGTGATTTGGTGCGAAAAGATGGCAAAACATAGTATTGACTTCAGCTTCCCCTGCCTTGCCTGAACATGTAAAGATCTTTATTCCCTTCCTACTGGTGTGCTCAGTACAGATCTAGGTTAATGGACCATCTCTCTCACATTTTAATCAATAGACACCCCTGGGAACTCTGAATACAAAACTGGCTATCTTAGCATTTCTCAGCATGGTATTTTGTCAATAATCTGGAGATTTAATTGGTTTTATTTTTAACAGGATCGGAGGAGGGCTATTAATACACTCCCCTTTTCAAACCTAGTTTAAACAAATTGACCTCACTCGATTGTTATGTGTGCACGTCCTGTATAGGGCACTGAACTGTCCTGAATACCACTACATTCGGAACATTTTTTCTTCATCCACAACAATTGTCATTTTTCACTAAAAAACTTATTCCCTATCTTATAGCAGAATCCTTTACATATATGATCTTGCTTAAATAAAGCAAAAGGTTAATATTTTCAAATTAAATAAAGAGCAATCCAAAAGGGAGTTAAAGACTACTTCCTTGTTGTCCGATAGCTGAGAAATCACAAAGTGACTAAATGCCTTACTGTTATAAAAATAATTAAATGAATAGAAGTAGATAAAGTTGTGGATGTTGGCACTTCTTAGGAATTTCAATTACCTTAAAGCGTTTTAGTACCAAAATTATTTTCCTCGAATAGTATTGAAATACTAAACTATCTGCTTGCCATGATTGATGTGGTTGAAAGGCATTGTTAGTATTTAATTTTTGTTTGTGTCTGCTGGTCTGTTCCTTGCTTTTGATCCACGGAGTTCAGTGCAGTTTTAAGAAGCTTATTTTCACTGATAGAGAACGTTGCATTTCTTGTTTTAACTGTTTGGGGTAAACTGCATTGAGACTGGCTTTTGTGTATTCTGTATTGGTCATTAAACGCTGTTGCTTGAGACGACATGGAGCATTGTACTTACGAACAACCCTAAATTACCCCAATGTTCTTGAACTGAGAAGGTGCTTAGGTTACAGGAGAACTAGAAAGCATGTTCGAATGGAATCCATGCATAAATAAATTAACTATTACGGAGAACAGTGGGTGTTAAAGATATAACTATAACTATTTATAACTGTTTATATTTTTCATTACAAAACAATTAGTGCAACAGGACTAACAGCCAGAAGCTGCAGTTTGATATCTACTTTGAGTCCGTATTTCATGTTGGTTTGCTAGAATAGTGATTCAGCAAGATCAAGAAGCTCTTGTTACAATA